TGCCCAAAAGCTTAATGACATCACCAAAAACTGTGCTCAAAAGCTTGATGACATGTCAGTAACAGTGTTTTGAGGTCAAACATACCTGATTGTGGTTATGCAAATTAGCCAACTCTAGCATGTGACCATTAGCATGGGTGGATCCGGTGTATCCTCCTTTGGTTGGCTGCGATTGACGCCGACACATACATATACATACAAACAGAAGTGCAATGAACAGTGGCACTGCAATACTTGGCACTAATATAAGTAACACTTCATTGTTTTTCTTCCTGTTAGGAGTGTGTACACCTAGGTTAGAAAGAGAAAAGTCATGTGATTTCAGCAAAGAATGACTGACAATCATCAACCGGGGTGCGTAAGAAATCCAACATCAATGTACAGCAACAGTGATCTTTGGTATGTATTAGAATTATCATCCTCTAGATACATTTTAGAAAATACACAATATCTATATTACAGCTGTGTTTTGCCATTCAAAGGTATAAAAATTATTCCTGCCATTTTTAAAATAGTACAACTTCTTTGGGGGAGGGGGGATTGACCAATTCACATGCACTCACCACATCTTGGAATATCGCATCTTTCGGAGCGAACTTTGGGATCCACTGTAAAACACCACGGCCCATCATGCTGGTTGCCAGGGTTACGACAGTAATTGTGATCTCCTAGCAACTGTGGATAATCGGCCAGTGTCAGGTCGTGAACATGGGGCTACAAAATAAAACACCATCATTTTACATTTTGCAGTAGTTGTTAACATAAAATGTAAACATGTTAATGCTTTGTTAGATACCCAAACATCAATAACGTCAGTTTCAGTATGATATATTTTTGAGTTTTAAAACATTTATCGTCAATAGATGCACATATAAACCAAAAATCACATTTACTAAATCATTAAAATATGACTTATTTTGACCATAGAGGCCTCTGTAATTTACGTAAGCGTTACTAATAGAGCAAATACGATAGGCATGTTCAATGGTTATTGTACATAGCTGACTTTCTTGTATGTGTGTGTTGGTATGTTAATCGATTACTCACCTCAGTACTGCTCCATTTCTGACACTGGATTCCAGTTCTGGTCACATTAACTTTACCAAGGTAACCACCTCCACTGTTATTGTAACATTTATGGTCTGTCAGAAAAACAAATAAATATTCATTTAAATTGTTTGTTTTCACAGTGTAAATACAGCTCTAATCTTCGGGGGCGGTCATCCGGGCATTTTCACCGCCTGGCAACCCGCGGCGGTGAAAACAAAGGCCCAAAACTCGCAGAAAACGGTACTTTGGGATGATTGTTGAGACTCCTCTGAACAGTGTAACAAGATTAGCCCTACGTGTGTAACATATATAAATTTGGTTGTTCGGGATTACTTCAAAGTTGAGTTTGTATTGTTTTCTCGAATTTTCACCGGCTCCACCGGTGTTCCACAGCAGCGCGCACAAAGCCCATAGAAATACGTGGTACAGTGATGCGCGTCTTAGCAACGTAGAACGTCTGTGACGTAGCTCCGCCCCCGAGGATAGACAGTTCATAACTCACTGATAATTTTAATTTTATTGAAAATAACGACGACAATGACAGCACTGAATAGACATCTCATTGTAAATACAAAAACCCAAAAAGAAACAGCGCCATCAACCAGTAAACATCAACTTCTTTTGTTTTTATATGATTGTTTAATAAAAGAATAATCTTTACCTATGACCCCTTGGTTCACATCTGGGATTCCAATACGGATACAGTTGGAACTTCCATTAGATCCCGGGAGGGGCAGCTCAGAACAGACGGGCAAAATGTAATGATTACTAACAAGATAATTAGATTTTGCAGATTCATACTCTGCTTTACAAATGTCATTTTCCAAAATCTCGCATTCATCACGGCATATATCACGAGGCTTAGCTACAGTCGTGGTTTCATCGCATAGTCGGAAGGCATAATGGCAGAGGGAAGGAATGGCAAATTCAGAGCATCGGTCAGAAAGATCAGTTGATGATTCAATAATCATAAAAGCAGCCATTAGTATTTCTTCTACAGATTTCTGGGACATCTCGGGGTTAACATAAATATTGGCATTACCGACAAAAGTTGCGCAAGCAGTGCCAGTATATGGTTTACAGTAGCCACCTTCACTGAAAAACAAGAGAAAAACAAAATTCAATAGAATTATAAAAATGGCTTCAAGTTAGAGGCAACATACACAACTGCACAAAACAGACGACCCCTAAAGCTCTAATTTCATATATTCAACCTAAATTTTTAGTGGGTTTAACGGTTTCTAAATTTCAACGCCAACTTATATCTTTTGGGAAAAAAAGGAAATTCCCATTGCCAGTGACAGTGCAGTATCCCCACCCCCCCCCCACTTCTCCTCCTGCGAAAATACCAGGACATGGCCTTTAGACCTGTTATAGTTGCTGAAGTATAATTCTGATGCTGAAGTACCGGTAGTACATGGAACACCCACCAAGTTCACATGGTGAAATTGACACTCAGTTTTTAAAAACCTGGTCATGATTTTGAGACAAACTATAAATCACTCACAAATGTGGTCAGCTTTTCCAAAATGAAAGATATTTTTATCATGAAACGAGAACACACAAGATTCCAGCACCTGATGTGTAATGTTGTAAAAATATTAGATTTCTGTATCACAATAATACAATAAAACATATATTCATGTTTGTGTGCAAGAGATATACCACACTCTTGTTTTGCAAAAAGGTAGTACACAGAACTTACTTACATGCTTTCATCTGAAGCTGGCGATGGAAAGGGGCCTGCCAAATAAATAAACATTGGACAAATAAATATTATAAACATGAAATTATTGACTTCATAATGCTCAAAAGTTTACTGATGTCAACACATGCCACTGCCCCAAGTCCCACAGAATACATCTCAGTGAGTGGTAAGTTTTTAAGTCGGGTCCTGATGCAACAACTACACTACATGACATACACTACACAACGATTCTTGCTTCACAATAATGTCATTGCAGATTGAGACTTACCAATTTTAACATAGAGTATACCCTGCGTAGAGACCGTACCAGCGGAGTTCTCGGCTACACATTTATAATATCCAGTATCCACGGTATCCACATCACGCATTATCAACTTGGATCCGGAATTGGCCTGTTTAATTGTGATATGTTGCCGCTTAGGAGTAATAGGCGCATCGTTTTTATACCAGTAGTAGGTTGGTTGAGGCTCTCCAGTTACTCGGCAACGTAGAACCGCTTTGGCACCAGATAGTAGTGTGACATTGTTCATGGGTTCTTCTAAACTGAGGTAGTCATTGTTGCTGCCACTGCAAACAAAAAGTAAATCATGATACAAAGTGAAAATGTTTCATTCCCGGATTGGAAGCAAATAACATAAAATATTATCAATAACAATAAACTATCACAGTATTATGAAAGGAGTCAAATTATTTAAAGATATATAATTTTCTAATGACAACAATCAGACTTACGTTATTAGGGTTCCAGCTCCGGTTTTCGGTGATGACGAGGCCAATGCTGAGTCTGGGTCATCTGAAAAGAAACAGAACAGCTCATATATAAGATTCTGCAGATACAGTTGAAACAGTTTTAAATTTCATGGAAATCCAATTAGTTTTACCAAAATTAACATCAAAATAGACAAAAAGGTATAAAAGGTATTGATATCAGATTTTACAAGAAATTACACCCTTGCTAGTTAGTGAGTGACTGTCATGTGAAGTTATGATGTGCACACCTCTGCAAATAAGGTTATTGTTATGGTGGTACGATAGATCAAATCTGTTGTCTGCACCAAAAAAGAAAAACATATCTACAAGCAAACATGTTTACAACTACAGCAAATTAGATTTAGACTTTTCTTGTTTATATATGTTGAAAATTTGGCGGTATACAATAACCGACGATGGTTTCATTGCGTAATTATCTAATATGATGTTGACACATTAAATAGTAAACTTTCGCCTAAAGATACCAACGATGATTTTAACAGATTTAAAACTTACAGCATCTTGGAATGTCACATTTCTCAACTCTTGTCTCTGCATTCATTGTAAAACACCATGGGGAATCCAGCATATTGCCTGGATTGCGACAGTAATTGTGACCCCCACCAATCTCTGGATATGTCTCTTCTGTCAATGTGTGCGGGTGCGGCTGTAAGAAGGAAAAAAATCATAACATGACGACTGAAATGATATATGTTATTTGTTTTTATCATATTTTTGAATCAGAATTAATAATGAAAAGTTTGAAATTTGGAAAAGCTGTGTCGCAAAGTGACACTAGTATGCAACTACATTATGAATATTATGAAAAAAAATCAATAAAAATGTTTTATCAAAAAAAATAGTTTTTCACTTTGAAATATGAGAAAATATGAAAACTGCAGACAAAAAATATAGAATTACTATTTTTTTAAATTTACAAGCTTTAATTTTTTCAACTTGTGAGTCTTTTATATAAAAATTCTTAAAACGCTTTTCTGAGCAAGCATGCATTAAATTATAGGTCAACTGTCTTATAACTTTCAGATGCATATATTCATACAAAAAAAATACAGTAAAAATGTGATAACGACATTCAGATGGCGTTTACTGCCATTTACTATTCAAGAGTTCCCAATTCACACCAAATCATGCGTGTAATAGAATTGAAAAGAGCACAAAACGACAAGAATGACTAGAATACTGAATCTCGTTATGATACAAATTGTACGAAAAGCGTACACTGCAAACAAATTCCAGACACCTTTTTTCCTTGTCATAATATTCAAGCAATTTTTTTTTAGAATTTTCTTAAATTTCATTTGTTTTATTGAAATCAAATTTTCAAAAATCAGACATTTACTAAACACTGATCAACATTTATAACACCAAAAAGTAGACAAAAACGACAAAAGTTGACAATGGCCGTGATCGGGTCAAAGATGATGTTGGCAATGGCTGCGAGAATACAAGGCTTGTGTTGAAAAACTGCTCAGTAATTGTAACCATTGGTAACCATGCAGACAAAGCCAAAACAAACGGCATAGGTAATAAGATACTATTACGGTACAAAATTGTGATCAAAATCAATACATTTCATTAGAATATAAAATTAAAAAGGAAAAGAAGAAAACAGCATTCAAAAATTGATTCAGAAATTATTAGAAATTGAACAAATGCAAAATAATAAGAAAGTTGTTTACAGAATGTTTGCAGAGGATGTCAATTTTACACAATTTGAATTGTATATTCAAAGCTGACAATATCCAAAAGAGCTTGTCTCAATTCCCGATGCAACGTCAAATCTATTGAGATGTAAAGCCGATGTACACTGATTCAGACGTGATGAGTGATTGTTGGTATTATACTTATAGCAAAGGGGATTAGAGTTTAATTAATAGATGAGCCAGATATCCCATGATTCAATTTGGCACTGTCAATCATCATTGCTACTGCAGTTCAAGCCACATTTCTTCAGAGTTCCAACCAAGACTGGATTTAGAGTTCCTGTATCATAATCCAACCAAGACTGGATTTAGAGTCCCTGCATTGTGATCCAACCAAGACTGGATGTAGAGTTCCTGTATCATGATCCAACCAAGATTGGATTTAAAGTTCCTGTATCATGATCCAACCAAGACTGGATTTAGAGTTCCTGTATCGTGATCCAACCAAGACTGGATTTAGAGTTCCTGTATCAGAATTCAACCAAGACTGGATTTAGAGTTCCTGTATCATAACCCAACCAAGACTGGATTTAAAGTTCCTGTATCATAACCCAACCAAGACTGGATTTAAAGTTCCTGTATCATAACCCAACCAAGACTGGATTTAAAGTTCCTGTATCGCGATCCTACCAAGACTGGATTTAGAGTTCCTGTATCGCGATCCAACCAAGACTGGATTTAGAGTTCCTTTATCGCAATCCAACCAACACTGGATTTAGAGTTCTTGTATCGCGATCCAACCAAGACTGGATTTAGAGTCCTGTATCGTGATCCAATCAAGACCGGTTATTGAGTACCCAAATTCAGATTGACCCATGCAAATCAAATTTAATAATGGATCACAATGACAATGATCTAATTAATTAACTGTGTTGAACTTCATCACTTATTATACCATTTTTTATATTTAGACTTGACAGGTGTATCTATCATTATAATTTGATATAATTTAATGATTTTATTGCTTGATGTGCATTTCTATCAGAGATGCATGTCTAAAAGAGCAAATACTTGACAATGTTGTATTTAATACTCACCCAGTTAGAGTGCCATGGCTGACAGACAAAGCCAGATATAGTCTCATTTAATGTGCCTCTATATGATAGACCACTAGCAGTGTAGCAAGCATCTAAAAATAGAAATCAGTTTTAATTTACTGTCCAAGACCAGTCACTTTACTTTATTACCTATACATAGATAACCCATAATGCAATGCGACAAGCACAGCATTGTAAAGGTGCACCACAACAACAACAAAAACCTTTGAATGTCAAACTTTTGTTACCTTCGGCCAACATTTTGATCAAGATCTATAGCTGATAGGAAATTAATACATTTGGTCCAAATTTATCCACAAAAAAAATCATGAAAAAAAAACAGGCAATATGTTGCACCAAGTACCAGGTAGATCTTGAGATCTGTGTTTTATAATGAGATTAATAAATAAGCTTATTAGCTAGCATATTATTTTAGCCAATCCAGTTTATCTCTAATTTGGCTAATTTAGAATATATTCTCACAGTGAGATTGTTGGCACTTTAGCTAAATTAGGATTCTGTTAATTCTTGCATTGAGTCAAATTTGCTAAAAAAACATGTAGCTATTTAAATATTTTATTTGCTGGCAATCTAACCTTGTATACCGGTTTCACTAGACGGGCTGCCGGGAACGTTCAACTCAATACAGTTGAGACTCCATCAAGACGAGGTAATTCCAAACAGTCTGGTAACATCCCTGCATCAAAGCCGCTTGACTTCAAAAACAGAAACTCCTCTCGGCAGGTGTACTGCTCTAATCGCACGCAGTCATCATGACATATATCACGCGGAGTTGGAATCGTGACCGAAGTATCGCATGGTGGGAAGACATAATAGCATACAAATGGTGCTGCATATTCCAAACAACTGTCACTCCAGTTACTGTTGCCGCTGCTAAACATTTCGAATGCCATGGCTAAACGTGATTCAAGCATACTTTGGGGTACCGCGATATCAACGTAGATTGGTTGAGTGCCGAGAAGATGAGCACAAACGTTGCCGTTATATGGTTCACAAAAAGATGAACGGGGAGCCCTGAAATGATAATAAAGTTGTGATATAAAAAGTTTTCAATAAATAAAAAGTTTGAGTGGAAAAATGATTTAAAGTGACACTGCCCTCAGCAATACAAATGTACATAGGGCGGCTCACATAACACTAAATGTTTAAATATTGGCAAGTTTTAGCAACTTTTTGTAAAAGTTGGTTGCACATTTACAGGCAAGATGGTATAATTAAACGATTGTCAAAACTATGTGTCATGCATGGTCATTGTTAATGTGACAATACAGTACTATATATGTATAAACAATATATATAACAATAAATTAGCTATGTTTATTGTTTTGAACTGTGCATAGCGTGTGATGTAGGTAAAGAAGAACCAGAGAATAGAGCAATAATATGGAAAAAGTAGAATGTGCAGTTCTGACGACAGTATCACTTGAAGTTACTCTAACCACAAGGAATTGTAAACAACGACGTCTACGCAGACAATAGCCAGACAATACCCAGTCCCCATCATCATTAGTGTATAAATATTAACTTTTTCCAAACCTACAAATTTGTCGTACAAATTTTAGTTGGTCATAAATAAAATGAGAAACGAGCTAAAGTATGGATGAATTGATAAAAATAATAAAGAAACACAATATTCAGGTGGGAAAAAAATCAAAATTCAGTCAAAGATAGATATACTTTTATAATTCTGTCATACTGAAACTAAGGAGCAAAGTAACATGAACTGATGCCATTTAATTATTTATTTGTGGGCACAGTACAAATATTATGACTTGCATGTGAACTTCTGAATCAACACATTGGACAAGAACGTAAATGAAAACACATTGAATGACAGTCACTGAATAAGATGTACTGAATTAAAATGATAATCACCCCTATGGAGATTGTAAAAATAATGGCACCTGAGAAAGCGGTGAGGAAGAAAAAAAAGACAATCTGCCACAAAGTCTTTTCAATCAAGATCTCAGAGGGTGTTTTATTAGAAGTGTATGGCAAACTGAAGGCTGATTCGTTTCAACTGTCAAGTTCCTTGTGAAAGATGCTCTATTTCATTTCACGTCTAATCTGTTCAAGCTGAAATGAAAAGCGGGCTTTATCATACCATCCATCACCTGACCACACTAGGCGATAATGTTGTTGACTTAAGCCACACACAACCAGCACATCAATGGGCCACTCATTCACCTGAATGGACTTTCTTTTTTGAAGAGTTTGTTGCTATGGTGATTTAGCTGAGTAAGACAGGAAGTGCAGATATGGCCACATTGTTTACTAGGTTTGGCTTGGCCCGATAGATTCTTTCAAAGCTTAGTGTAAATTTAATTTAATTTTTCAAGGTTAAATCTTATTAACTTTATTAACAGAAACAAAGTTAGTAAGGACACCATTTTGTGAAAGTTACATGACTTTTAACCGTTTGAACGCTGAAATAAAGTAATTCCTGCAGCAAATATCCACTTGGTCGGAAAATTTCAAAAGACAGATTAACTGATGTCTTTGCTATTTATTTGTCATGTGGTTTTGTTTTACCCAACTGTTCATAAATTCTAGAAAAAATAGTTTAGTATATAAATAGATAGTTCACTGTGATGAAAGGTAGCTATGAATCATTAAGATTTAATATTTCCTATATAGATACAGATGCTATACTATTGATTTTTATAGAAAATGACCATTTTGAGATTTTTGAACTTCAGACAAAATGAATTCCTTAACAATTTACAATTTTGTCCCTAGAGTTGTAGGTAGAATGCCTGTATAAACGAACTTAACAACAAATTACCTAATACTTACCCTACATTCGGAGATGCTGAAAAAGAACCAACGTTGACAAATAATCGAGCAGTGAGCGACACTGACTGTGTATTACTCCCAGTTGCTGTGCACCTATAGTAACCAGTATCGTCAGACTGTACACTTCGTATTGATAACTTTGAGCCCCAATCATAAATACGCATGTTGTATCTTCCACGGTTTTCCAATTTTACGTCATTTTTAAACCACTCAAAGGTAGGCGGTGGTTCTCCGGTAATTTTGCATCTGAATGACGCTCGTTCTCCGGGATGTACCGATACGTTATCCATTTGTCGGTCAATCTGAAGACTGCTACTATAAAAAAAACACACAAAAAATGCATAAAATGTAATTGACGCTTTTGTTCAGGATTCTGTGTACAAGTATAAACCTCATTGCAATATATTTCAATTGTGTTACTGTATGTACACATAAAACAAAAATGTTATTTAGGTATCGTATATTACAACATTTATAATCAACTTATTTTGACCACAGAAACATTTATATCATTTATGCTAATAATGTACATGCGCATTTTTGGCCTTATTGTGAATGCAATAACCTTTTGACACAAATTTTGTAAATTTTTATATATATCAGTAGGATTTTGTGTGAATTTTGGAATAAATACTAGTAGATACATTTCCCCAAGAACTGCACATAGCTGTGTAAAACATTTTGAGAAGATGTCATTTTTTTCGGTGAAAGTTAACATTGATGTTTAAAGGATAAGGAACATCCTGTTGATGATGATACGATATTGCCGTAAATTATTGAATTAAATCTAAAATTAGAAATAAATTGATATGAATACCAATTTCTTGCTGCAATTGCAGGGATTAACTGCTTTCCCAGCAGTGTGTACAGTGAATGATAACCACTGGTACTATTATACACTAGACTGGTATCAATAATTAATTCTATCACTAATTTTTCTCTTCTGATGACAGCAATAGGATTACATCATACACCCCCAGACACCAGTGATACTGAGTCATCACCCACTCTTTCCCTGTGGCTGTCATGTTAAAGCGGAAAACCACTACGATACGATCTTACTAATATGCATATAGTGGAGCAGAAAAAAACACTGATTCAAGAGATGTGTACTTATCTACATGTAAATTTCTGCATAGTAAAAAGGAAACAAAGTGGTTAGAGCTGCTGGGATAGAACATGCTGTTTTAACTCGATAAGTGCCTAGGAAGCTTAAATTCACAGTCCTTGGGCTTCCCAGGAGAAGGACTTTTGACAGATTCTGACAAATCTGACCTGTCACATTTTTTTCTCCCTCTAACAAGCACCGAAAGATGAACGTAACACGAACCAGAGATGTATCTTTGAATTATACATGTTTGCTCAGTACTGAAACATGTATCCGAGCACTCCTAGTAAACATGTTATGCAGCCATTGGGGAATGTCGACATTCTGATAAAGTTAGTAGAATTTGGCACCGTATAATGAAGATTTTTTTTTCCTTTTCTTTGGAAGATATGCCGGAGAGGATTACAGTCACTATTATTTTGTTGGTGTAAGGAATGTGACGTGTAACATCCGGTCACTGAGTTTATCAGAATTAATTGAAGCACATTATTGGGTCACTTGCATCATTACCCAGCCAGGTCTAATTATTCAAATTAGAAGATGAGACGCATTCCAAAATCATTCTTTATCAGTTTGTGAAAACAAAATATTTTTCATTCTTTATTTCATTTTTTCACCTGTTCCAAACTTAGCAATGTTTTTATTATAATTGAAACATCATTATGTAAATTACCTAATTATAATATGCACAAAGAAAATACGTGAGAAAGTTTAGTACTATCGGTACTGACAGTGGGTATTCCGAGTCATCAACATGCTGAACGGTTTATTGATGGGCATTCCATTTGTGTAAATGAAACAGACCTTGCTGTTTACTTAGTTTAATGTTGCTTTTATTGCCAGAAATATTGCTTGACTGATGAATTATTAATTTCATTTTAAAACCTGTTCAATAAAAAAAAGATTTTTTTTTTGTGTTATCATTATCATCAGAAAGAGTGAGGGAGTAGAAAGGGGATATCTGTTTCAAAGACTTGAGATCGACAAGAGACTCTAATTTACAGTTTGATGATGTATTAGTCATAAACACTTATTACATTACGTCAGTGATCTCAGTTTTGTAGAATTCAATTTCAGTGATTGTATTAAAATGAGTCACAGGTTGGAAATCTTTGCACAGATTGAGATTGAGATTCTTGTCATTTTCCTGTTACACACTTGCATTTAACATGTCAACATCTGCTTAACCCTTTGAAAGCTAGATTTATCCTGCTAAAAATTTGGTAGCAAAATTTTACACATTTTTATGTATTTTTTTTATTAATTTTGGTGATAGAATATGTTCTCATGCAAAAACTTGTACTGTCCTCTTTGAACACCCATCTTTGTAAAACTTTATTAATCAAGATTTTGAGCCATATTTAAATGTTGCACTACTGAGCACGTTACTGCACATATGTGCAATGCATTATGGGAGAGAACTTCAAATTTTGCACTACTGAGCACGTTACTGCACATATGTGCAATGCATTATGGGAGAGAACTTCAAATTTTGCACTACTGAGCGTTACTGCACATATGTGCAATGCATTATGGGAGATAGCTTCCTTTTTTACATAATGGAGAACTATTATCCTTCAATCTTTTTAAATGTTACAATATCAGATTTTTCATTTCATTGCAAAATATTTTAGACTTTTTCATTTTTTAATTGCATTAATTATCAACACATAATAATGAAATTTGATTTTTCCAGACTTGCGATTCATAGTATTAGCAGGTAATATTAAGAGTTAAGATATTAAGGTAAAGTATTATTTTGGGGAAAAAACCTGCCAGGAGAGCACATAGAAATTGGATCTCTGTCGATGTGACTCATACAACAGTAGGTAATTTCATCAAATTGTCGGAATGTTTATTTCATAAAATTCAATTTTTCAGAGCGGCTTGCCTTCTAATTACGAAGATGTCATTATGAACCTGTAATAACCGAGTGCACTGACGGTAGAAAATTCGATCCATTAAATTTGAGAATATGAGTCATGAAAAAACGACAGAGGAAATGAAGTCGCACTTCATCTAAAAAAAAAAATGACGAAACATTTATAGAAATAAATCAGTTGTAATCAAACTTTTTCATTGTGGCTTAATTCTCACATTGCAGGTATCAGTAGCTGTTGTAACTATGGCGATCTGATGTGTCACCTTGGCAACTAGTCGTCTCAGAGAATGGTATGCTACACAACTTACAATAAAGTGTTGAAAGATTCATTATTTTTAACACTCCACGTTACACAGTTTGTTATATAAGCTGTAAATAAAAAAGTAAGATTCAACGGTATTTGAGAAAGAGCAAAAAATGATAAAAATACAGATTTTATATTACCTATTAAAATTAATGAAGTTATGTTAAACAAATAACTTTCCAGTTCAATGACCCCTATCAGTGATAATCGCCAAACGCCAAACTCTGATACAATTAGGCAAATGTACTATGTAATTCTCATTTTAATTGGCGAGTTCTTATACAGCCTGGTTGCCCCGGGGATGGTGACCAAATGTACATTAACACCACACCTGAATTGGTCACTTGAGACATGGTAATACTGTGCAGGCTTAATGGAACAGTCTGTGTACTAATACTTTGGATAAGTATAGACAACTTGCATCATTTGGTTGATATGATATCTTTCGGGGGACACATTATTAAAGGTTGGACTTTTTTAACAAAAAAAGTGTACAAGCAAAGCGAAAATTTCTTGAAACTTGAAAATATTCATATTCTGATTAAGAAATGAAAAGAAATTCTAATTTTACACCACTGATCCGATGTGCAATGTATTATGGGAGTGAATATAGTGGGCAAATAATAATACACTTAAAACACACTAAAATATTTTATGGACATTTTCAACAAAATTGATTCATATCAATAACAATACAATGTACCGATATATGAACTATTTAGACATGTTTAATGAATCACATGTATAAACAAACTGCAAAAAAAATACCAATTTAAATGACAATGCCCCCCCCCCAATTCTTTTATTTTTTTCCATTTTCTGTATCGTAATGGTATGAACCAATTAATAGTGAAATTATGAATAAAGTGACATACATATGTAGTCTGCGATTTTGGCTGAAGGAATGATTCAGTGAAAATAAAATCCAGCAAATATACCTTTTCCCCCATTTTTTACATTCAACTCGTCAAAAATCAGTGAAAAAAAAAACACTCAAAAAATCTTTTCAGCGAAAATTAATTCCAGCTAAAATAAAATATTTTACAGTAGTCTGAACCTCCTTACACGAGAATACATGACTCCTGTGTAAGTGTAAATTAAAACAGGAAGTACTGCAGTGCCACATGTCAACTCTTCAAACTTTTTAGACTTCTCTCAGAGAGTCCTTTTAACCGAAATGTGCACTTTATTTTTTCATGACAGAAATTGACCATTCAATTCACAGGAGAATTAAGTACATTAATTGTCAATTGCCATGGAAACCATGTCTATTCCCTACTCAAGATGGAATGAACTGTACAGTAAAAACTAAAGTGACCACTTATCAATTAATCCAAGCATGCACAAGTGTCCGGTTATGATGATGCAGTGATATGTTGCCCTCGGTTACCACCATTTCTGTATTAACCACATTACACCAAGAGTTTTAATACAGTAGTCCCGAATCCAATAGTGTTCTTAGACTATTATCCAAATTTACATGTGCAATGTCCCAATATATTTGCTAGTTCAAAAAATATACAAGTTCCCAAACAATAATATATATAAGAGAAATTTGTCTGTTGTGGGAGGGAGAGGGGGGGGGGGGTTGACCAACATTTGATACTGACCAATACATGACAGGAAACGTACAATTATGCAATTATTAATACAACACACTCAAAGTGACACATCTTGGAGAGTTACAGTACAATACAGTACAATACAATGTAGAAATAAGAACTATCGGCATAAAGGTTTCTAAGTCGTATCAAAGGGTACATATACCAAGTACAGCATAATGTTAAGGCAATGCAGACTCTGAAGACCCATTTTCACCAAATGTACATGTGCAGACTTGCTAACATTGAACTGCACCGTGATTATACTTTGATAAAATACACACGTTTAGGGAGGATTAGAGAAAAATTACAGTTATCCTGGATACAAGAAATTGTTAACAACGATGACAGACAGACAAGCTTAACCAACATTAGACAAGAGCTGACGCTAGTTGGCTATTTTTCAAATTTAGTAGTCCAATTGGACTACTAAAAATTTACCAAAAAATGACAACTTTTCACATGAACCAATACGTCTTCAATGCTAAGGGTGTCCTAAATGATTTAAACAATATAATATTTATTAAATGCTTTCGCATTTTATTGCATGGATTACATGGACCTACAAAACCTGATGGATTACCAACACTGGCTACGCAGTTTTCCAAGATCTTTTTTTTTAAACTACTGCAAACTTATTTTCCCTTGAAATAAATTTTTGCTGAAGAAATGATTCAGTTAAAATAAAATCCAGCCAATATACCTTTTCTTCCTATATTTTACATTCACAACTCGTCAAAAATCAGTGAAAATAAATTCCATACAAAACACAAACAAATTAATTCCAGCTAAAATAAAGTATTTTACAGTATTATATTTTATATATGCACTTTTACAAATATGGTAAGGCTTTATATTTTTTGACAAGCAGTGTGCCAAGCAGATTTTTGAGTTGCATCACAGGTAGAGAGAAATAGCAACAACGAATCAACAACACGAAAAATTCAAAAAATTCAAACCTTTAATTATTTTCAACGGAAATACAGCGCACACAATCATCAAGCTATATACATGTGGGAGTAGATCTTCTGCATGGCTTGGAGCAAAAAACATGCATAACTCATTTCCCCATTATCCCATCGGCTTTTTTGTGCTTAAAACATTCAACATCCAAATCATGGTCCTTCTGAAAAACCTAACGAAGCTGATCATTTGAATCCAACATAAGTAGAAAAGCTTACTACTGAAAACTGCATGTTTTTCGTCATATTTAAAGGGCGGCAATCATCTTACCGCGTCCTGTTCGATATGGGACTCAGAGCGACGACTATACAACGCGTGTAAAAGGCATTTTTATTTACATGAAATTCAAACACTCGCTGCGCGATGACCACCGCGCTTTAAAGAGAGGTAGCCGTCACTAAGTGTCATGGTCAAGGTGAGTCCCCCAGAGAAGTACATGTAAATTACATTATTTGTTTGCAAAAAATATGAACGTGTGCAGCAGGATGAACACCACCTTCAAAATCATCTAAAATGGTGACAGTTTTTCATCAATTTGTCTGAACATGAGTTTAAATTTTTTTGTGTGTTTTTCTTACCTGGATGATGGTGCTTGCGTGACACTCTCAGGGTTGCCTTCATCCCCACTCAATGTACCTGAAATCAAATAAAAGAAAATTATTAATATTAAATTAAAACTTTCATTTGTGAAGCTGGAAAACATATTTACAGCAAATGCAGAAAGGCTTATAGAATGTACCGGTATACAAGTACAAAATGGAATTGTTAGTGGTGAAATGTCTTTGAAGCAGTCAAAGAAATCGTAAATACTTAAAATGGCAATATTTTCCACAAATTTCAGTACAGTATAACAGCAGCAATAGCTGTAGTTATCAATCTTTTTTTTTTATTGATAAAACATTTCCTGTGTCTTTAGTGTCAATATGTACCGATAATGGCCATCGACGAAATATGGACAGTAAAAGCATAGCATATACATAATTATACCGAAATTGTACATTATATCACTTGCAAGTAAAAAAATATGGCCACAGGGGTTGTGTCCAGGTTTTCAAAGGGGGCCATCTATTAAAATCCAATTTTGTCAATGAACCTCAATGATTATGGTACAAGATGACAACTTACTGGGGCTAAGCCTCTCTTTGACGTCCTCTCACTGATGATTTCATGTGTCATTTCCCGTAACAGTGTGCGTCATGCATTGTGATTTGTTTACGGTTCACATCGCGTGGCCGATTTCAGCAAAATGGCGACTATATTCCACGCGAAATGCCTTGTGTAGTCGTTTTGCCGATGCAATTGTGTCTAAAACATTATTTCATTAAGAATTGGCCATCTTTATGTGGATATATTGACAAATACAGCTTGATTCACATTTTTTCTGATTAAAACAATGAAGCAATCAGGATCTTGGCATAGTATACGATTGTCAAATATGATGGATACGGGACTAGATAACCTTTAATCTCAAGTTTAATTAGAGAGGACAAATCTGAAATTTGATTTAGGTAATACTTCTGGGTCATGCAAGTCTATAATAGCACCAACTCATCACAACTAAAACAAGCTGACAAGGAAGGACAAACTTGTACATTTTGTGAAATTAATTATTTTATTAACTTGAAAAAAGGAAATCTAGAGACCACCAATACCATTTCTACATGTACATGTACACTTGGAAAGAGAATAGTCATTATTGCAGTTCATAGCGGAGATACCGGTTTAACAAGTAAGATCGAACCCTGTCCACCTGTCCCAGGCAGGCAGATTTTATTTGGGACAGGTAAGTGTAGAAATTGGTTTTCCCTCTGGGTATTTTTTTTTATCATTTCTTTGTTAATTTTGGACCAAATGGCCAAAATTTGCTACTGGCAACGGGGCTTGGAAATATTATGAAGTATATTTTGTGACTGGTGACTGTGATGTGCGAAGACATAGCATTTATTTGAAATGATGTCACCAAGAATTACGTTTTATTTGTTACGACATTCAATTCAGACAAATAAATGAGTAAACTAAATTAGCATATAACTGTTGTGACGTTGAAATAATGTTTTAAAGGGCTTTGTTCAGACGATAAACTTCCTTGAGATTCACAACAAATCACCAAAAAAAAAAAAAAACGTCACAGCAAAGTAAGACAGCTAGTGTTAAAAATGTATTTTTATCGTCTGCACATTTGATCACTTTTCGCACACTGTACAATGTTCTATGAATACATCAGTTCTATTTTTAGTAAGAACTCGTAATCAGACAAATGATATTACTGTAGAGGGAGAAATGTTTACTGGGATAATTTTAGCAGATTTGAGGGCAGGATATTTTCTAAATTATAAATCCGCTGGTTGTGTTGGAAACAAAACTTTCTATGCATGAATTCAATGGATTTTCATTTAAAATGCATTTAGCTGTCAGTGAAATACGCAAAACATAAAATCCAGCTAATAATGAAACTTTATATACATAGTACACAAATTGTGGAACATCTGGCAGGCATCAAGCATAGAAAAGTGTTAATATGAACTATGAAGTCATGAAAGTACTGTAAACCACATTAACCCTTATCCTGTCAGCCACATGTACTTTTGAAAACTCCCAGCAGCAAACATTCAGTTTACAGTAAAGTGAACACTGTACACTGCACACTCAGGACAACCTGAGAAGGACTACGATATGGAAAAAACAACTGACAGCATCACAATTAGGCTCTTGTTCCCCTCAGAGCTGTTAAATTAGCGGGAAAAATACAAATATTACATAACCAATATATCTCCAGTAAGGCATGGACCGACTGTGCTGTTGTGTGGGAATCCAAAGAATTGATGATCTTGACATAGTCGAATACACACAGTAAACCAATGCAGTTAATGAAGCAGAGCTACTATCAGTTTACAAGAATGAGTCCATCTATTTGCAAGACTTTCCATATAGAGTGTGGTGCAACATTCATTAATTGGTGACTTGATATCTACGTATCCCTGTCCACACACATTATGGTTCTACTCTGCCCTAATAGTCACGACGGTGCTAAATATTTGTATTCACGATTTCACCTTTCCTGCCTTAAAATTTCATTTTCAAAAAATATTTTATCCTAATTTTGAGCCAGATTTGTAGATTTTGATCAACATTTGAAACTTATCAACATTCTATAAATTGATAATTTTGATGACAAAATTGGGTAAAGTCACTATGATTCACTGTCCACAGAAAAATGTTCACTGCTACAACTGTGTGACAGGAGTTCGTACACAAGAGGCTTCTCTGAGTGTGGACAGGGGTTTAGCCATACCAGGCATCCTGGAGTGTGGACAAGGGTTCGTACACAAGAGGCTTCCCTGCGTGTGGACAGGGTTTCAATGCACCAAAGGCATATGCCAGTATCTATCTGTTTGGTCTCTGTAGACCAGTCATCCTGTAACCTGCTCTCATTCAATATTTATACTTCTTATAGAATTGGAATAAGTGTGTTAAACATTCATAAGCAGTCTTACAATGTTATTCTGATCTCTAAACTAGAAATCATGGAATTTGTTTTGCTTTCACAATAGAAAAAGTCACTTTAAAGAAACAGCTAAAATAGTTTTATAGGTTTAAATCTATTTGCTTGTCAATATCGGTTGGTTTGTTTCTGTAGGAATTGTCTAAATTCAAGTAAAATCATACACCTGAGGCTCACTTGTAAAATTGAGTTAAGTTAAATTTCAGGCAGACCAAGACTTTGATTAAACCAGAATCATGTTTACTTCATTCTTCATATTTTCTAATGACATGTCTATTATAGTAGAAATCTGTCAATTATTACTCATAAATGTGTTTAAACTGAATGACTAATTTGTGCTTTTTAAAGTTGATTTTTTTATGAAAATTGAATTGGTTTTCAAAATCTACAGTATGTGCATAGATTTTTGTTTTTTTTTCAAAATTATCATTAAAATTATGTTCATTTTGTATGGAAATTTTTTTCTTTCAATTTTTCAAAATTGATGTCACACATTTTTTCACTTTTATATTTTATGCTTTTTATGTTGATTTTTTATGAAAATTGAATGGTTTCCAAAATAATGTGCATACATTTTTGTTCATTAATTTTCATTAAAAATATGCATACGTGTCAATTTTGTATGAAAATTTTTCTAAAATTGTTTTTCAAACTCAATGTGCAAACAGCTGTTCCCCAAAATTGTCATTAAAATTGTGCTTTTATGTTGATTTTTTTGATGAAAATTCTTATTTCATTTTTTCATAAATTCAGACAAAAACCTTTAAAAAAAGTGCTGTAACCCACACAATTTCAAATAATAAGCACAATAACCAGAAATATGAATGTTGTATAACGCTTTGTGATATCGCGTGCAGCTAACCACTGCATGGAAACATCACAAAATATGTACACATTACGTGCTATTAAATGAACCCAATTTCTGAGGTCAAAGTGTAAAACTTGTTTTTCTTTGCATTTAATTCACTATCCTACCTAACCACCTAACCATTCAAAGCCAATTAAAAGTGACCTCATTATTTCATTATACTGTATGCATTGCTATTTTCTTAGTAATTAAATATTTCTGCATAGGAATTCGTCTCATGTTCTATCTCAGTCAAACATATCAGGATCAATCAAGCAAATGAAATTGCGACAAGGCCCACTGAAAACACAACCAACAACTTTTGGAATGTATATTATTTCTTGTGTGGTTTTATAGATCTATTACCTAAAATAATTAACTGCATCACTAACATTTTTTTCCTCAAAACCTTTGTGGCAAAATTGTTTCAAAGTATACTCATTTTATTTGAATATAACTTAACTTCTATTTTAATTATACACAGCTACAACTAAACTGAGCCATAAGCAAAGCGCCCTCTATAGTCATTTTTTATCAATTTTAATTCTTTCTAACTACTCGCTTGACAAGTAAAAAAAAATGTCAAGCTTCATCCAGCTTTCCTGCACATAGTATTCCAAATTGGAATGACCTGATAGTCCAGTTAGTTTTGGAATGTTTAGTGAGCGGCAGTGTGATTAGGTTGTTTTTTATTAGTTTCTGGTATCGCCGAATGCACAGATCCTCGTTTATTTACATCCCATGAATGGTCAATTTTCCGAACCAATAGGCATAGATGATTAAAATCAGTTCATGTTGTTATGAGTTTTCATAACAGACTATGCTTGAGAGGACTTAAGCCAACCTTTACCCACAGGACAAACACTGTTTTACAGCATCAAGCAAAAAAAAAAAAAAAAATTTTTTTTTTAAACTTTGGTACTATTTTTGGATTTAATTCTATTTTGTGAAAAAAAAAATGTTACCAGCAGTATATTTTCTCTTCCTGTGGTAGTCTCCACTGATCTCAACAGCAGGGTATCCGTCACATTTTCGCTATCGATTGTAGCTGTCAAAGTAGCAATCTTGTTAGAGCTCCCAAAAGATTAGGATTACTTTAGGTGGAAATCACGGAAATCCTGTTATAGAACTCATTCTCCCTGCTCTGCGTAGAAACCGCTCTCTTTGATAACTCAGAGGGATTAGTGCATCAATAGTCTACAAGTACTGAAATATGAAGGGACTGACTGACCAGTAGAAAAAACAAACTTCGGCAGCGGTTTATCCTGTGGCATAATTTTTCCCTCC